TTCCCTGACATCAATGTAGAAATCCTCAACAAGACTGGAAGCATAATCAAGTGGAATTTATCCCAGCGATGCAAGGATATATGTAAGTCTATCAATGTGATATAGCATAGCAACAAAATAATGATATAATCATATAACAGCAATAACAGCAGAGAAAGCATGCAGCACCCATTTATGACAAAAACCCTAGCTAAAATGGCAATAGAAGGAACCTATATAATAAAGATGATATATTACAAACCATTAGAGAATATATTACTTAATGATGAAAAACTGAAAGCTTTCTTCTTAAGATTTGGAAGAAGACAAGAATCCTCACTGTCACTACATATGTTTAACTTAGTATTAGAGGTTTTGGCCAGAGCTACCACACAAAAACAGGAAATAAAAGGAATACAAGTCAGAAAAGAAGTGAAATTACCACTATTTACGGAAGATATATGCGGACATCATTGAAAACCAATTAAAAACAATACATGAATAGAGCAGAGTGGAAGGTTACAAATCAACACACAAAACTCTGCAGCTTTTTTACATACAATGAACAAGGAGAAAAAGAAATCCAGAAAATAATTCCATTTACAATTGCTTCAGAAATAACCAAGTACCTTGGAATTAACTTCACTATAGAGGTGACAGACATGCACAAGAAGAACTACAAGATATCATTAAAGGACTTAGAAAGTGACATAAGGAGGGCCTCCCCTGTGGCTCAGCGGTTGAGCGCTGGGTTGCGAAGCTGCCCGCAGCTTCTGCAGCACTAGTTCGATCCCCAGCTGCTCCCCGGCCACCTGAGGAGGTCCCACATGGCGTGCAGACCTCTCCTGCCGCCCGCTGCTCCCCTCAGCAGTGTACTTCGGTCCTTCTGCCTGCTCTGCTCCCCGCTCTGGCTCTGGTGAATTCTCTTACCCTCCCGCGCTTCTGACTGTACCCAGTGCTTGTATGTATAAATAAATAAATAAATCTTTGAAAAAAAAAAAAAAAAGAAAGTGACATAAGGAAATGAGAGAACATACTATGCCCATGAATGGGGGAAAATAAATATAGTCATAATGACTATCCTGCCTCAAGTGATACATAAATTTAACACAATCCCCAACAAAACACCACAGATATTTTTCAAAGATAATGTGCAAAAACTTTTGAAATTTATATGGAACCCAAAAGGTCTAATAGCAAAACAACTCTGAGAAAAAAGGGGAGCAAGAGAAGCATCACATTACCTGACTTCAAACTTTACCATAAACGAACAGTACTAAAAACAATATATTGGCACCAAAAAAAGATGCACGGATTAATGGAATAGAATTGAAAGAACAGAAGTAAAATAAATCCACACACATAATACATAAGATCTGGAACAAGATAAGGATGTCCACTCTCACCACTGCTTTTCAATATAATACTGGAAGTCCTAGCCAGAGCAATAAGACAAGAGAAAGACATACAAGGAATCCAAATAGGAAAAGAAGAAGTCAAACTATCACTATTTGCAGATGATATGATAATATACACAGAGAACCCCAAAAACTCCACAGAAAAACTAATTGAATGCATCAATCAGTTCAGTAAAGTGGCAGGATACAAAAATCAACACGCAAAAGTCAGTAGCCTTCCTATACACAAACAATAAATCTGAAGAAGAAGAAATCAGAAAACCATCCCTTTTATTATCAAAACAAAAAAAAATCAAATACTTGGGAATAAATCTAACAAAAGAGGTAAAGGACCTATAGAAATAAAACTATAAAACACCGTTAAAAGAAATAGAAGAAGACACCAAGAAATGGAAAGACATCCCCTGCTCATGGATTGGAAGAATAAAACATTATTAAAATGGTCATCCTACCAAAAGCATATACAGATTCAATGCTATTCCAATGAAAATTTCAATGTCATTCTTCAAAGAAATAGAACAATTATTGATGAAATTCATATGGAACCACAAAAAAACCCCGAATAGCCAAAGCTCTCCTGAAAAAACAAGAAGGGAATGGAGGCATCACACTCCCAGACTTCAAACTATACCACAAAGCTATAATCATCAAAACTGCATGGTATTGGAACAAGAACAGACACACAGACCAATGGAATCGAATAGAAAATCCAGAAATAAACCCACAGATTTATGGTTAACTAATCTTCAACAAAGGAGCAAAGAATATGCATTGGAGCAAAGAAAGTTTGTTCAATAAATGGTGCTGGGAAAACTGGGTCGCTACATGCAAAAGAATGAAGCTTGACCACTACCTCACACCATACACAAAAACCAACTCAAAATGGATTAGAGAACTAGACATAAGACCTGAAACCATAAAATACATAGAAGGAAATATAGGCGAAACACTACATGATATGCACATCAAAGACATCTTTATAGACACATCACCCAAAGCAGTGATAGTGAAGGCAAAGATAAACAGCTGGGACTACATCAAATTAAAGAGCTTCTGCACAGCAAAAGAGACAATCACCAAAACAAAGAGAAACCCCACTGACTGGGAGAAAATTTTTGCACACAACAGTAATGATAAAGGACTGATGACAAAAATCTGCAAAGAGCTGATGAGACTCAACAAAAACAAAGAAAATAATCCAGTCAATAAATGGGCAGAAGAGCTAAAAAGAAACGTCTCTGAGGAGGAAATGCAAATGGCCAACAGGCATATGAAAAAATGTTCAACATCACTTGTAATCAGGGAAATGTAAATCAAAACTACAATGAGATACCATCTTACACCAGTGAGAATGGCACATATTAAAAAAACTAGCAACAACAAATGTTGGCGAGGTTGTGGAGAAAAAGGAACTCTCCTGCACTGCTGGTGGGAGTGCAAACTGGTCCAACCACTATGGAGAGCTGTGTGGAGATTTCTGGACCTACTAAACATAGAGCTTCCATATGATCCAGCAATTCCACTCCTAGGTATTTACCCAAAGGACACAGAAACATCAATTCCAAAGAACACCTGCACGCCTATGTTTGTAGCAGCACTGTTTACAATAGCTAAGCTTTGGAAATAACCCAAATGCCCAAAAATAGATGACTGGATCAAGAAGATGTGGTACATATACACCATGGAATATTACTCAGCATTCAAAAAAGATAAACACATGCAATTTGCAGCAACATGGATGGAGCTGGAAGGGATCATGCTCAGCAAAATAAGCCAGAAAGAAAAAGAAAAATACCGGATGGTCTCACTCACAGCAGTAATCTAGAAAACTTAAATAAGGGACCAGGAAAAAGAATAACTATAAGAAAGCAAAAATCAAAATCAACAAACAACTATGAACCAGACACTCTATGGGGGATGGGGGGCGGGGAGGGGAGGAATTGGGGTCAAAATAAGGGGGTCACAATTGTATATAAAAATAAAATTTATAATAAAAAAGAAATTATAGGTAAATCACTTGTGTAAATGATGTATGTTTGTATTAAATAAAATCTTAAATAAGGAAAAAAAATTAAAAAATAAAAAGCAAATGAAAATATAAGATTAAAAAGATAAATGGGAGAAAATATTCACACAATATAAAACTAACAACTAGTTAATATCCAAGATATAAAAAAACATAATTCAACGATAGAAAAACAATTCAATTAATAAATGGGCACCATTTATGACCAAAGAATTCACCAAAAAGGATATCCGGAAGGCCAAAAGACATACAGAAATATGTTCAATATCATTTTCAATAGGAGAGATACAGGTTAAAAACGCAATGAGGGCCTCCCCTGTGGTGCAGTGGTTGAGCACTGGGCTGCGAAGCCGCCTGCAGCCTCTGCAGTGTCGGTTCAATCCCCAGCCACCAGCGAGGGTCCCACATGGCACGACAGACCTCTCCTGCCACGCCCACTGCTCCCCTCAGCAGTGTGTTTCGTCAGTCTGCCTGTTCTGCTCCCCACTCTGGCTCTGGTGAATTCTCTCACCCTCCCACGCTTCTGACTATACCCAGTGCTTGTGTAAATAAATAAATAAATCTTAAAAAAAATAAAATAAAAGCACAGTGAGACCACCTCATATCTGCGAGAATGGCACATATTAAAAAGACCCCAACAACAAGTGCTGGAGAGGATAGGGAGAAACAAACCCATTACATTGTTGGTGGGAATGTAAACTTGTGTGGTAATTACAGAAAGCAATATGGGTTTATCTTAAAAAACTAAAAATGGAAAAACCTTATGATACAGCAATCTCATTCTTGGGAATCTATCCAAAGAATGTAAAACCAACAACATAAAAAATCCACATGCTCTACAATGTTTATTGCAGCACTATTTAAAATAACTCAGTCATGGACAAACAGACTAAATGTCCATCAACAGAGGACTGGATCAAGAAGATGTGTTGTATACACACAATGCAATACTATTCAGTCATAAGGAAGATGAGATGATGAATTTTTCTGTAAATGACTTTTTACAGGGAGTAAATGAAGGGAGTTCGAAGGAATTATGTGTAGCAAAGCAAGTGAGGAGTGAGGATGACAAAGGCAAATGCTACAAATTTACATAGTGCATTTTTGGACAAAGTAAAATACAGGAACAATCACATTAATAAACACTGTGAGGGCTCTGAGATTAAGAGGGAGGAGGATAGGAGAACTGGGATAGAAGGGATGGTGATAGGAAAAATAAGGCACCCTTGAGTCCCTTATTCCATGCCTTAAAAATGGATTGGGCAAAAATATAAAGTACCTAGGACAACTTTGATGAACCAAGAAAGTGCAGGGTCACTAGGGCCAACAGTGGTTACCTTTGCCCTTATCTATTATAAATCCAGGTAACTTTCGATTCCTGTTCTACAGCCAAAGGGGCCACTGAAAATATGTCCTGTTCTCTCTGTTTAAGCTTCTTGAAACCCATCATCATAAACTTTCCACTCACCTCAGTGTATTCCTGGAAAGTTGTGCAATATATAGATTTTAATATAATTTACTTAAACAGAGAAAGAAGGCTATATTCCTGACCAATACTATTTACAATACCCTCTTACCTTTTTCTGCTGGGCTCAAAACAGTCACTGCGAAAAGAGAGAGAGGTAAAAGTTAGCAATATTTAAAAAAAGTTTCCAATCCATTTTTCTATAGCATCATTTAAGCAATTTAATCAATGGTACTTTAGGAAACCATCAGGCTGTTAAGATGAGGAAAGACAAGGATAATTAAATTCTATCCTTTGCTATCTTCCTTCATCTTAAACCTTCAGTAAAGAATTTCTACTCATTCAATACAGGTATAACCTGGTATATTAAAAAAAAAACAACCAAAAATGGAAACCTTAAGCTATATAACACGATAGGAAAAACTTCAAAACTGATAAATTAAGAGATTTATTTTTCCAAAGTATTCACTGCAGAACACCTTTAAATGCCAAGCTTCTCATGTATATTGAGAATGTTGTATGGAGATTACAAGGCAGTTCGGAAGTCAGACTGTTTGAGTTAGAAGCCCATTTCCACTCTTTCATGATCTTAGACAAGTTCCTTAACTTTCTATCAGTACCTACCTCACAAGGTTACTCGAGAATTAAATGAGCTAATGTTTAGAACAGTATCTAGCATAAGGCAAGTACTTATTGAATATTAATTATTATTACATTTGAACTAAGATTAGAAAAATCAGAACTAGAAGGAACTTTAACATCTAGTTTTCGCTCTCATTTTATAATGAGAAAAATGGACTTAGAGTAGTATCAAGTGATTTGCCCAAGTTCACAGAGCAAGTTAATAGTTGAGTTGGAACTAGATTCCAGATCCAGATTCCAAGGCTTTTTCTATCTACTATATTAACCTTCCCCAACCATTCACTGTTTACTGTCATTCATATATATATATATATACATATATATAAATATATATATGTATATATATATGACTTCTGTTCAAAATGCCATCCATACAAATTGAGACTAACCTGTCTTTACCTACCCCAACATCTGTGTGCACTTGTACTAGGTGCTAAGGCAAAGTGAAATTACAAAGGATGGGTGTCAATATTGAGAAACTATTAAGATGATTTTCATACAGAATGATACATACCGAAGGGTCAGAAAAATGGGCCAAAAATCCAAACAGAGAATGAGACTATATTGTAGGGACTATTTTCTCGGCTCTGTCATCATTCATACCTTCTCTTTGTTTGCCAGTCTATTTTTGTTGAATCTTTAAAAAAAATCTACCTTTTATGATCATTTGAATGGACTCTGCTAAAACTGCTATAAACCAACTGATGTTGCAGCACTATTTGCAACAGCCAAGACATGGAAAGAACCCAAATGCCCCAAAATAGATGAATGGATCAAAAAGTTGTGGTATAGGGCCTCCCCGGTGGCGCAGTGGTTGAGCGCTGGGTTGCGAAGCTGCCCGCAGCCTCTGCAGCACCGTTTCGATCCCCGGCTGCTCTCCGGCCACCAGAGGAGGGTCCCACATGGCGCGCAGACCTCTCCTGCCGCCTGCTGCTCCCCTCAGCAGGGTACTTCGGTCCTTCTCTGCTCCCCGCTCTGCTCTGCTCCCGGCTCTGGCTCTGGTGAATTCTCTCACCCTCCCGTGCTTCTGACTGTACCCAGTGCTTGTATGTATAAATAAATAAATAAATAAATCTTAAAAAAAAAAAAAGTTGTGGTATATTTACACAATAAAATATTACTCAATGATCAAAGAAGACAAACTCATGCCATTTGCAGCAACATGGATGGAGCTGGAGGGGATTATGCTAGCCAAAAATAGTCAGAAGAAAAAAGATAAATACCAGATGGTCTCACTTATATGTGGAATGTAGGAAAAAAAAAAGGGTCAAGAAAAAGTCAAAATTAGCAAAGGTGACCATATATAGCAAGGGAGGAGGAGTGAAGGGAGCAAGACAGAGGAGGGATGAACACAAGGGAATATGGTGTTCATGGGTGATATGGTGGCGGGAGAACTATGGGGACTATAATGATACAAGAAAAAAATAATTAATAAAAAAATTAACTGTTTTCTTTTTTCTAGTACACCTGCCTGAAGATTGGTACTGATTCCTTTTTTTTTCCTTTTCTTTTCTTTTTTCTTTTTTCAGTCAAAGAATCCTAGTTAAGAATCCTTGAAAGAAATACATACTAAGACAATACAGATGAAGTTGAAACACGGATCCTTGAATGGGTCAACTTGGGACTTCATGATTTTGCACATACACGTTGTATGACTGCATTTGTTCCACTAGGCCCTGGACTGGGTTTAAACATCTCTTTAAAATGGAGTGAGCAGGTCTCCCTGGCGGCACAAGGGGTTAGCACTATGAAGCTATCCCCAGCCTCTGCAGCACGAGTTCCATCTCGGGCCAGCCAGGGAGATACACACATGGTGCAGCAGACCTCTCCTGTCTCGCCTTCTGCTCCCCTCAGCAGTGTATTTTAGTCCATCTGCCTGTTCTGCTCCCCACTCTGTCTCTGGTGAATCCTCTTACCCCCAACACGTGCATCTCTGGCCTGTACCCCAGTTCTTGTATGCATAAATAAATAAATCTTAAAAAAATAAATAAATAAAATGGAGTGAGCAAGAGCAGGCTTGCTTGGAGACAAATAAAGCCCAGCTGACAAACTGCTATTTGGTATCTGTCTTTCTACCTCTGTGGCTGATCCCTCAGTGTTAAATGAGAGGTGAAGGTTCTAACTTCCATTTGCTTGGCTACTTCTTATGGCTCCATGGTTGAAGGAAGGAAATGACTACATGCTTTGCAGATATCTGTTGGAGTCATACAATGTATATAGAGAAAAATGAGAGGGAAACAGTGATGTCTCTAGGTGATAGGCAGCTGTCTTTAATTTCAGGACTGTCACGCAAGTGGGACTGGTTAGTATGATTGGAAAACAGGACAGAAATAAAATCAATGGGTTATAGCTGCAGGTTGACACATTTTAGCTCAATGTAAGAAAAATGATGATGATGATGATGACAATGACAATGACAATGACCGTCCAGACTGGCAACATTGAGAAAGAGTGAGGTTTCTCATTTAGGCATTAGTTAGGCAATGTACCTGACTTTTAAAGTCTTCTTTTACTCCTGAAATCTGTAAGATTAATGGTAAGTATAATGGTAAAATACTTCCTTACAAAATTCCCTGTTGGAAGTTATATACTTCTGAGAAAAAAAAAAAAACAAACAAGCATCCTTTATTTTAAAACAGGCTTTCCTTAATTTTTCCAACATTGTCTTTTGCATTATTAAAGGAAGAAATAAAAAATACTTCATATTAAAATGAAAATTTTACGAGAGTTATACTGAACATTTAAAAAATGAACCCTTGGGCCTCCCCGGTGGCGCAGCGGTTGAGCGCTGGGTTGCGAAGCTGCCCGCAGCCTCTGCAGCGCGGATTCAATCCCCAGCTGCTCCCTGGCCACCGGTGGAGGGTCCCACATGGCGCGCAGACCTCTCCTGCCGCCCGCTGCTCCCCTCAGCAGTGTACTTTGGTCCTTCTGCCTGTTCTGCTCCCCACTCTGGCTCTGGTGAATTCTCTCACCCTCCTGCGCTTCTGACTGTACCCAGTGCTTGTATAAATAAATAAATCTTAAAAAAAAAAAAAAAAAATGAACCCTTTATCATCATTCTTTTAGGTAAGTGCATACTTAATCAAACCATTGAGCAATTGGCCATACACGATTACAGAGTGATGAGGAAGTATGTATAATTATATACTTGTTCTGTACCTTCAAATTTTAGTTTGCCATTGAGGAATTAAGTGACTGAATTATCATCAAATAACTTTTCACTGTCTCCTGTCTTTTCCCTCATCTACCCACTGATTCTTTGCAACTAGGTATGGAGAAAAGGTATGGAAGGGTGGGGCATATTCAAGGAGTTTTCATCACAGAAAACTAGTGTTAAACCCAAAGCAGATTATTCTTTGCATTCATTTATTTATTTTTAATATATATGTTTTATATTGTTCTTCCTTTTTGTACAATGTATGCTTTCCCTTCTCAGGTATAGACCCTGTAAAATCCCCACCACCAATTCACCTGTGAACCATCACCTTAGTCCCTTGTATAAGAACACATTCCCTCCCGTTTTGATCCCTCTCCCTCCTTTTCCCCTGCAGAGTGTCTCTGATTAATAGCTGCCTGTTAATTTTGTTTTTTAATTTACTGTAATTATTTTTTTTCCTGGGCCTTTGTTTGGTTCCCTTACATTTGATGATCACACTAAACTCATTCATTATAGAAAAGCATTTCAAATTTGTTGCCATTCATCTGAGTGATGAGTTTACATAAATCTCTATATGCACTTTCCCCATGTACTTAATATTAGTGAGGGTGTTCTGCAAAGCAGACTTTAAACAGATGTCAATTACAGAGTTCACAAAAGAGTTTTGGTAGAATAAGCCTAATTTGGTAGTAGATGGGAAGGATCAACAAAAGTAGAAAGGACATGAAAGAAATCCAACAGTGCTGTCCAACAGAAATAGAATGTTAGTCGTGCACATTTAAAAAACTAATACCATGTGAAAGTAAATTTAATTGTTTTATTTCATCAAAAGTATCACTTTAACATGTTATCCACGTAAATTCTGAGATATACATTCTCTTTTTGTAAAAACTTTGTAAAAGATGGTATATATTTTATGCTTCTACCACATCGCATGATCACAATGGTTTCAAAATCTCTTTTATGCCAAAATCAATGTATTTGACACCCACTTTTTCCATTAGATGTTTCTTGGACTTTAAGCTAAAAGATAGAATTTGAGATGGGGAACTGAGATTTATTTCTCATTATGTTTTGGTTGCAGAAAGCAAATTACTCTGAAAAAGCTATTCATATTTGTCATTCATTTACCTTTCAGGCAGTCATTCTGAAACCTGGATGATTTTAATACCCACTCGGGACAGATTAAAAAAAAAAAGTTAAATGTCCCTTTTGTACAACAGATCTCTGGACAGAGGTCATGAATTTGTATTTAAAAAAAAATTAGCAGGTGATTCCATTAGCTGGATTTAAGAACTAATATAGTTATTTTAGATGTTTGGTATCATACCCTACCAGTC